TGGGTGGTCCTTCCAAAGGCTGTCCCAGCGAACCCACCAAAGGAACAGCACATCCCTTTTTTTCTTGTTTTTCCCCCCACCTCCTTGTTTTCCAGGGTTCTCTGGATGGAAGCTGCGATGTTTGAGCTGCCGGCTGCAGCGAGGGTCCAACGTGTCCGTCCCTACTGTGACTCAGTGTAGATGAAGAGTTTGGGTCTTGGAGAAGGCTTGTTCTTCCCTTCTGCCAAATAGTTCCTTTCCTCTGGAGCTCAGTCACCATGGGGCCATCCAAAAGAGAAAAGGAAGAGCAGAGCGTGATCCTGATCAGCGATGACGAAGCCGAGAGCACGCTTGGGAATTCGGTTCTGTTGGTGGACCCGTTGGGTGAGTGCTGTGCTCTTGTTGGCAAGGAAGCTCTGTGAAGAACTTCTGAAATAAACTGAAGTGAATTATTAGGTGGTATGCTTGAAGTGTGTCTTTCTGCTGCTGGGAAAACAAAATACTTGGAAAATAAATAAAACCAGGAGGAACTGCAATTATTCCATAACTTTTGGGGGCTTCTTTGATGGCACCGCTTACCCTAAAGGATGCTGCTGTGTAGTTTCAAAATATGGCAGACTTGGCTGAGACTGGACCTTTTCAATGTCGAGTGCACCCTTTTTGATTACGTCACCTCTCTCTCTCGATAGCGTGTGGAAGTTTTTTGTCACAGGTCACTGCACCCTTCTTACTGGCACCCTGTGAAAGAAATAAGAAAGTTTATGGGCACCCATAAGCAAGTTTGTGCCTTGAAGTTTTTTTAGAAAGTAGATGTCAATAGCTGGTCGGGTTTGTGGTGAACCTGTAGTTGCCTTTGTACTGACTTACACCACATATTCTCTTTCCTACAGAGAAGCCTGCCCTGGAAGAGAAGAAATCTGAAGAAGTTGTGGACGAGGAATGTGAACTCATGGTTACTTTCTGTAAACAAGCGAAAGTGATGCCCCATGCAAGATACGACTGTACAATACACCCGTTTGAGTATGTTCAGTGATGTGGGATTAATCTTGTCAAGGAACCTTGTTAGCTTTTTGTCAGCTGAAAGCAGAAAGAGAGGATAAGCACGTGACTTGTTTCATCAATAACCTTCTGGTTTCCGACTTTGTAGGCGAACGGAATGTGATACGTGCTCACCCCTGGGAAAAAATGCTGATATTTGTAATGAGTGCTACTGCTACATTTGTGATAAACTAGCTTCTGAGGTAAGAGTTGTGATCAAGAAATGCACAATTTGAGTAAACTGAATTGCTCAACAGGCTTTTTAAAAGAAATCCCTCCTAAGCACAACCGAAGAATAACTGAAACTTGATTATTTTAACAGTTGCTCTCCTAAATATTGATATCTGCTGCTTCACAATGCTACTAAAAGTGCGGTCACTGGGTTTATTTCCAGTTGTCGGGGTAGACATTCCTTTGATATAAACAAATATCCCTCTTGTTTGCTTTAGGCATGTGGTGTGTTTCATGGAATCAGATTACTAAATCAGACTGCTCCTCACTGCACTAGAGAAACGTCAGACTTTTAGGCTGTCCTAACATAGTGGGGGAGTTGGGGGAATTGGGTGTGTAGGGTTGGTTTGTTTGGGTTTTTCTTAGAATTCAGAAAACTTTGAACTATGAGCAAAGTTGGGGTGACTGTGCAAAACCAGTGCTCTGTTACCAGCGTACGATGGGGAGGGAGGGTGCCAGCCCCAAGCGTGTCTGTAGGGTATTCAGGAGTGATGGTAAATTACCATGGGCTTTTGTTATTGGCCATGATATCGAGTTATTGCCATATTGGCCTCTTGCCCTGGCTGTCCAAATACTTCACTGTAGCTTTTCCTGGGTGTGTAAAGGGTGAAAGGAATTGTAGCCCTTCACTCAGAGGAGCTCACTTTTTTGATTCGCTCAACTGGAGTGGGAGGGTGGGAATGGAAGAAAAAAAAAACCTCCAAACCTTTCCATGTTTTTCATGTTTTATGAAATAGTGCCAGAATTGGACAACTCCTTCCCTCTGTCACTGCAATGCACACAACAAAAGCAAGTTCTGGAAGGACCAGCGTGACTTTGCCCTGGCTGGTGTTCTTGTCATGTTCAACTTGGAGCTCACGGATATAGACGCAGACCTTCGGCACGGTGGTGAGTGTTATGCACTCCTGCTGTCCTGGGAGTCCTGTGGCTCACTGTGGCCACTCAGTCTGTGGTTGGATGACATTTGTAACCTATAAGGACGCCTTGTCTGGTCTCCTTGCAAAGACTTGGTCACTTTTTAAGGTAGCAGCTTACTGTTGCTGCTCACTTTCTGGGCCATACTCAGACCAGACACAGGTCTGCAGGTCCAGTTGTGCTTTCCTTCCCCGGGAAGAGGCAGCAAAGCTTTCCTGGCCATTAAGATTGGATGCAAGTAACTTGCTGAATATTTCACATGATGTACTTATGATTGTCTTTCTGTTTTAGTTTTGAGGGGGGTAAAAAAAAATGCTCTAACAGTTTCATATCCGTCTGCTCCCTTAGGAAGTCTTCTAATAAAATTTATCCAGGAACTTTCTGTGGAGTATAATAAGTATCTGATTGGAGAAAGAATGCCTCCCACACAACACGAATGCTTTTGCCTCCCGAAATTGCCTCCTGGGCAGTGCAACATCTGCAGATCACGCAACATGGAGGTTGTATACAAGTAAGTGACAACAGAACTCAGCTACTACCAGTGCGTACTGGTCAGTGCAGGTTTGCTTTCCTTTGGCCAAGTGATAATCAGAATCGTGGCACCTGATATGGCAGAAACATAGTTGAGGGAACTTACTTGGCCAGTGAGCAATTAGATTGCAGTTGGATGTAGTTTATACACAACTTTAAATACGTCTCCTGTGCTATACTAAAACACTTGATAATATCCCTCATTATTATGCCCTGGGAAAGCATGAAAGTAAAGCTCCTGTTTGTACTAATTTGTTTTTTAGAGTGGAGTTCAGCTTTTACTTGATAGAATGTGCCTTTAAAATGCTTAAAATAATGGTTGTGCAAATACCCTGTTGTTATCTTATAGGTGCCTTTCAAGGAAAGGCAAGTCAATTTGCTCTCTAACTGTGGAATAGTCGTAATTGCCATTTGTTCACGAGGTACATCATTGCAGACACTTTATCTTATGGACTACTTCACTTTCTTAGGTATTCTGGAGTTTTTGCGCTGGTAACAAGATTTTTAAATCAGGCAGAAAGAGAGAGTCCTAAAGCTGCTGCTGTCATGTTTCTGGGAGCAGCTAAAGAGATAGCACTTCATAAAGACCCTGCTTTGTAAGTATCCAGTTCCACATCTAGTGTGTAATCTTCATTTGCATCTCAAAAGGAGGAGACTAAGTGAGAGAGTCTGGTTTTCCGTTTATTAAGAATAAGGACAAAGATCACAGCCCTGGCTGCAGCACAATGAGAGAGAAAGGAGCACACCTGAGGGAGACACGAAATTAGTTATGGGGAGAGATTTTGGCAAAAAGAGAAGGTTAAAGGTTGGGTGTGAGAGGAAGGAGTTAAGTGGGATTGTGTCATGAGGGGGAGAGGTGATCTCCTGTGAGGGGAAGGAATTTGAGATGGACTGGGAAGAGGGAAGGTGACAGAGCGATGATGGCAGGTGGGGTTAATTCCCCAGGAGAAGGTACAGGGGTAGAGGAGGTTTCCTGAGCAGAGAATGCACAAGCTGCATTGTGTGAGGAAACATCCCAGAAGGAAGGGAGGATGTGATGTTCCTTGGGTAATCAGTTTTAGATGCCTCCCTGAAGTCCGGAGGCTGACCAGTCAGCTGGGAGGACTGCATGATAAATAAATAAAAACAGACTTTAAATACTTCAGTCTTTACTGCTTGTGTCTAAGACACTAGAATGTGTCTTATACTTTGAGCACTTGTTTCATTTGTTTGGGAACTATGATACTAATAAAAATTATTGAATGCTTCTTAAGAAAAAAGTGTTTTCTTAAGCAATTGAGTATAGAGAAGGGGAAAAGGCAGGAAAACCAGCTAAATGCTAATTAATACTTTTTTTCTCCCCTATTAGAAACTGGCAGAACCTCGGTCACGCTGCTTCACTGAAGATTGCTGTCCCTTCTCTGTTGCAAAGGTAGGACTTGTCTTGTATGATGGTGAGGTGGCAATGGCATGGCTACTGGCTGCAAACTTTCTGCTGGCGTTTAAAATGCATTTAAAATTATTTCTGTTCAAAGGCATGAAGAAAAAAGTGAATTCTTTTAGCTCTTAAAAGCCAAAAGTAAACTTGCACAGGTGTGTAACCCTGTGGTTCTGTAACATCAGGGAACACAACTCCACTGTACTGTCTTAGGCGCTGTTTTTGCAGAGGAAGAACAGTCTGCCCCTGCCTGCATGTAGACCACGGATGGGCAGTGACAGGCAGAAGAATATAAACAACGTGCACCAGTCAGCCTAACGAGCAGGGACTTCAGCATGCTGTCAGGTTCTACAGTTGTACACTACAAATCAGGATTTTTAGAAACTGTCTAATATTAGTCCATTTTTGTGAATGACAAGGGCAATACCTGCTTTATTTAGAGCCACATAAACGTTCAGACCCTTCTTTGTTGCCTCAAAGGAGAATAACTTGCTGGGGAACTCAAAGCCAAGAAGATGGATTACTGTTGGACGGTAGTCTAGGAGTGTTTTGTAAGGCCAGCCCAGGAGATGGTGTCGGGTAGCAACTTGTGGTTATTAAGCTGAAGAGTAAATAGTGTCTGTTAAAGATCAAAACAGCAGCCTGGTAGTATTCCACTGGGATGGAGTAGTCAGGGATGTAAGATGGTGAAGTTCCCCCCAGAGGCTGATGAACGAGGACATGTAGCTCACTTGGCTTAATTCATTTCTCATTTTAGCTTTGTATTTCACCTTTAACCCGAAATTCACTTGCAACAGAAGGTTAATGAGTTAAGAATTAACTTTTTTCGGGAGCACTCAAAAACAATTATATATTCTCACCTCTTATTTGAAACTAATGACAGGTATAACCTAAATCCTGAATCAGTTTTCATTTCAAATTACTATTCTTGAATTTTTTGATTTCTTTCTTTAAAAGAACAGGAAAAGGAGTTGTTTTGCTTCTCTCACTTAATTTTAAAAGCGTAAACTCTTTGTGTTGGTGTGTTATCTCCAACTTTCAGTGAAGATAAAAATGGTTTCAGTAGCTGGCAGGAGCTCAGTTGCTTATTGGGCTTATCGTGTGTTTCTGCATTTCTCACATGCTCACTGGGAATCTTTGTTTTAAAACCTAAGACCACAGCACCTTGGTTTCACTGGTGTTTAATAACAAGGAGCAGTGCCATTATTCACTACAAATCTTAAAGCACAAATTTAACTGTAGTTCCATAGCTGTCTGACATTTAACCAAAAAAACCCCAAACTTCTGTAGAAGTTCGCCATAGGATGAAAAAAAAAAGAGCAACTTAATAGTAATTAATCCAATTTTAAGATATTTTGATTTTTCTTTCTTTTTCTTTTCAAAACACAGGATCACAACACAACTTCAGAGGATGCTGGTGTTGTGTGACTTTCCAAAAAGTTTGTATGAAAAGTTTGTTAACTTCTTTCAGTCCATCTCACTCCCATGTCACTGTTTTGGCTTCTCAAATAGGTACGTTCTTTGGTTTTTGCTTACAGAATATATTTTTTAATGCAGTTGTCTGATTTGAAAACAGCTATATAGACTGGTTCTTTCACTGACAGTGTTAGGTGGGAGCATTTTATAGAAAGATTTCAGTATTAGCTGCTTTGTATTTGTCCTGTCTTTAAAGGAAAAGTTGTTGGATGCTGTGGCTAAGTTGTTTCCATATAGCTCTTTTCTCCCCCCATCCCCCACCCCAGAAGTAAGCTGTAAACCTCAAGCTGTTTTATTGGTAAATCTTCCTGTTAATTAAGGGAAATAAATCGTAATGTACCAGCAAAACACACTTTGAAATTACTATTTTTGTACTTCCAGCTTGAACGTTGTGCCGTGGGACCATGTGTTACTGACGACAGTTTTAAAAGGTCAGAACATCACTGGTCAAAGAACACAGAAAGGAAGAAAAGTATTTCTGTGGGAAACACTCCCTGTTATAGATGCTCGAGTGGAGAAGCTGATAGACAAAAATAAGTAAGATTGGTTTGGTCTTGGTTTGGATTTTTCATATTGTGAACTCAATTTTTACGTTTCGTGTGGTATTGACTGCAGTGTAGTGTTTTCCTGACATCTGCAGGAGCTTTGTATAATGGGGAAACATACAAAACAAAGACATGTTTGAAGCTATTCATGCCCACTACTTCTTATCAACAAGGCCAGTAGCTTTTTGAAGTTTTTCAAAGCAGAATCAAGCTCTTTGAACACTTCAGGACCAGAAAAGAATGTTGAAGTGGATAATTTCTTTGTTTCCGTAACCCCAGTAGGTTTTAGATGTTGATGGTTAAATCAAATTCTATTCATCAAAGGCTGACTATGTGGAAGACAGCAAAAAAGTGTGTTCTGGTCTCTGGATCTTCAGAAGTCTGTATTCAAAAGCATACAATCAACTTAAAGAATTAAAGTGAGAGGCAACCTCTCTGTTTTATTTTGCCAGAATACAGAGACAGTCTGTGGATAGCTTCTTGGAACTTATTTCTAGCTGTCTCCTTCTGCCAGTTGTATTTCAGTCCTATTGTGCAACTTCTCTTGTGTGGGAAGATCTACTGGTTTGCTTCATTAATTGTAGTAAATATTTCTATTGACCTGTATATAGCTCTGCACTTCCTTCCTCTTCCTACTCACTCTTTTTGTTCTCTCTAGCTATAAAGAAGTTGTTCGCTACCTGAGAGCTGTGAAATGCAACGATACCAAAGGGTAAATGGCTTTTTTCTTGGTTTTTTTTTTTCCTTAATTGTTTCTTTGCCTTAAGCTTGTGTCCCAGTCTGCATTTACTCCAATGTGTGATAACTGGCAGAATAAAAAGCAGTAGGATTTTGGCAGCTGCTTGCTACGAGAAAGCAGTACTGCATCACAACTAGCTTCTGCTTGATCAGGTGTAACTTGCTAGTGATCTAGCATGATCAGATCTGTACACAGCTATCAAAAAACTTCCATGTCAATGAAAATCAAATGCTCATTTCTCCCTCCTTTCCAGGTTAAGAGACCTTCGAGACAAAATCCCGTTCTACTTGTGTAAAACGGGCGATTTCCTCGATGCCGCGCACTCGCTGCTGTTCCCCGTCAACAGCCTGGCGTGCTGCACCGCCTGCCGGATAACGCCTTTCCAGTTCGAGGTCTACCTGAAGATGTTCAGGACAGGCAGTGTCCCTGCTGGAAAGGATATGCTAGACCCTGGGCCCTGGATTACAGTTGGCAAGTGTGATTTCTTACCTACACGTGTTTAGAAGCTTGCTTAATTACAGCTTTTACTTTTTTTGTTAAATCTAGTAACATTACGAGGGACTCTGAGCCCAACTGTGAATTGTTTGGGCTAAATTCACATGAGGGACAAAATTATGAGGGACTCTGAACCAAACTTGAATTGTTTGGGCTAAAGCATGGTCCGTAACGCTAGGCAGGAAGAAGATTTTCATACATGAGCATGAATTTGTTTAGTACCCTTCACACAAAACACTAATTTTGTCAGCTGTGAAGTTGTTTTATTGAAAGCAACCTATTAAAAGAAAATACAAAGCTCTCTATTACATCATGGCACTACCAGTAGCAGTGTGTAACTTAGCATTATGGTGTGTCTCAGCCTTGACCTTGAGAAGAAAAGCTTCCTGATGGAAAGGATTTCATGATCTGTGTATGACATTCTGTCATTAGTTTAGCCACTGATGACTGCGATCATCTTTCTTGGTGCATGCTGGTCAAGGTGTATTCTGAAATTCAAGATTTATTTTGGAGATGCTCAGCTAGTAGTAGAGTTCTTAGACACATGAGATACTGATGGTGGGTTTTGCACTGTACTGCGGTGTGATGTGCATAATGAAGACTTTGTTCTGCAATGGCTTAGTCTAAATTGTGTTCAGTTCTTTGCAGCTTTCCAGAGTAGTGTTTAACAGTTGTTGTTCTTCTATTCAGAACCTTTAAAATATTGTGAAATAGCTCTAGATGCTCATATATTTCTTTTTTTTTATTTAGGCTTCTGTAGAAACATATCTGTAACTAAGTTAATGTCTTGTTTGTGTTCACATTCTATAGTTATTCCGGGAATATAAGATATGTTTTGGATTTCTTCTTCTTGCAGGGGCTCCCTTGAAAGATGGTGTCCTCATTAAGCAGGCACTCAAACTCCTTTACACCAATGTGTCACTATACAGGAATGTGAGTCTGTACTAAAACTGCGTTTCTGTGGCCCGTCGGGTGTTTCTGTATATTTTTTTTTCTCTGAATAGTTTACACCTCTGAATGGATTTGACTTTGTAAGACAAATGTTCTGCTTTGTTTCAGCCTAAATGCTGGAGTTCCCTCATCATGATCTTGGGCAGTAGCAATTTGCTGGAAAAAAGTGGGCACCTACATCCCCTGTCCCTGAAGGAGCCACCACTTGACTTCCAACAGGTAACTGAAGCAGCGCTGTGAAATGGGAGAATCTGTCGTCTTGGTTTTATACAAGGCTTCATCTGAGGTGGGCATTGGCTCCTTCTTCTGAAGTCTCAACTTTTCTTGAGTATGGTGTTGAACAGTCAACCTCATCTGTAAAAACGCTGAAAAAAAATAAGTAAAAGCACATTAAAGAGCCGTCTTGGGTACTGTTTGATGTTTGTAGAATATCTGGACATCCTTCCCCTTTACCTGTGACTCATTACTTCTGTTGCAGGGGGTGGTTGCTGCCAGTGGTGGCCTTTTGGAGGAACTGAAGGCAAAAATCAACGTTTCTTTGCCACCTGCTATTTTCTCTCCTCACGTAAGTGTGCACATGCCAATAAGAAAACTTACCATTTTTTTTATGCTTGAAGATACAGCAGTACTGAAAACAGTTGTGCTATTATGATAAGCTTTACAGAGGGGGCTTGAAGATTTTCTTTTTTTTGAAGAATCAGCATAAGACTGTTCTTAGCACAGTCTAAAGGCTAGGGCAGATACCTGAAGGTAAGAAAACTATTAGGGTCTGTTCTGATCTGACAGAATCTTCAACCTAGGACAAGTCTTACTTCATTGCTGCCCAAATCTATGTGTTTATGAAGTGGGAGGGTTGGTAATAATTGATTCAGTCAATACAGAGCTATCTTTATTCTTTTTTCCTATTTCTGAGGAAATTATGTTTAGCTTACTCTCCAAATATGACTCCTGGTCCAGAAATTCTTTTTCCTCTAATTCTATTTCTCTGATGCTGTGAGACTTTGTTTCTGTGAGAACTTTGAGAGCACCAGGGGAAACATGCTATGTAAATAAAAGTACCTCTTCCATTCCCCCTTCTCTTGGTCTTCATCAGATTCTTGTGGATGTTGTGTCTGACATCCAACTGATCTGATTGGAACGGTAGTAATTTCGTGCTGGTTTGACTGGGCTTTTAAATATGTCTTCTTGTTGGTGTCTCTCCCTGTAGTTGCACCATGAGGCTTGTCTTATTCTCGCAGTGCAAGCAGTACAACAGATGCTTTTTTGTGATCTTCCATACTTGACCTCCTTCCTAGAGATAGCCCTGGCGTTTGGGGTGAGTCCTAGATACTGATTTCTGTTCTAAGAGATGAAAGCAAATTATATTTAAAATCTCCAGCACCAAGTTGGAGATTTTAAACACATTTAACTTGTTTTTTTTCCTCTTTAGCTTTGCTGGTCTCTAATTTATTCTGGTTTTTAAGACACTATCGGCAATGAGGTTAAATCACTGGACTTATTTTGTCTCTTCCTAGAATAACTTCTGGGCTCTGAGGCTGTTATTAGACCATCTTTCCTATGAAGAACAAGTTCTCCATGGCACTGTCAACCTCATTTTGAGAGATCTAAATCGTCAGAAAGCAACAATGCTAAAACTGTGAGTAAACACTTGCTCCCTGAAGTCTGTCCATTTGTTTATGGAAACAGCAAGGGCAGTCCCACAGCTGTAACGTTTATCTCTCTGAAACCAGCCAGCCCAGTGCTTTGGGTAATTCAAGAACACACATAAGATGCTAGGAATCAATAGGAAACTTGTCTCTGAACAGCTGTTTCCTGGTTCTGCTTTGCTTAGGTGGCAAAACCTTGGTCCCCAGTACGTGGGTGAATTCCTCTGCCTGTTCCTGACGTGCAGACATAAGAAGATGCAGTCCATTGGCCTGTTCACTCTGAATATTATTACAGAGAACCTGCATATGTAAGTGTGAATCTTTATCATAGCCAAGTAGAAAATCATCATGTTTTGCAACACTGATAGTAGTTTTGTCTTAATTCACAATTCGTTCTTGTTTTTTTATTCTTCCCTGCTAATAGCAGCGGTAAAGATACTGAACACGATGTTTTGGGTAGATTTGACATTGTTCTATGTTACCTGTTGCAAACAAATGATCTTCTCACTTCCCAGTGCTACAAAAAAACATGTTATCTACTCCTGGCAACCCTGACCAGTCATCAAGATGGGTACAGTCTAGTTCTATTGCTTAAATGACATTGTCATCAACAACAACCAAAAAACCTTGATTAGGACTTAGAGCAACGTAGTTACTGGACTCTAAGGAGCTGTAATACTGCATAAAACTTCAGAGAAAATAGTTGAAAATAGCTCAAAATGAATACGATTGTGTATCTGCAAGGATACAATGAGTGTACAGAGGTCAAAGTTTCTTTTAAACTTGCAAGAAATTCTTCACATGGAGTGGGGGGGGGGAGTAGATCTCCATGAAAAACTAAAGATTCAGGAACATACCTGCACTGTAATGCAAACTGAGGACAGCATCAGGTTTGTGCCTGCAGTTCTTAGCCTCTTTTAAAAAGAAGAGACACCACTTGCTCTGCAGCAGCACAAGGCTTCAGTGGGTGGTGAAAACAAGAGTTGTGGAAAAGTCTGAGTACTTTATTCAGATTGTGTCGCTCCTGAAACCACTAGCTGTTGGTAAGTGTAATCCTTGCTTTCCTGTGTTGTGCAGTAAAGCATTGTAGGCTTTAGAGTGAGACTTTAATGAGTTGACATAATGGTTTTACAATGAATTGGCTCTGTGGTTGTATGCTGGCAGGCAGGGTAATTGCTTGCTCCGGCACTTTTGATTCACACGTAGCCGATGGCAGCAGAGTAGCGTTGAGAATTCACCTCTTAGTAACTGTCTTGAGTGGAAATCAGACATGTAAGTTGACCTTCTTTGTGAAATGTTTCTGTCTGTTTCTTCTCTCCAGCCTTTGCTGAGGAAAATAAAATACCGAATTTCTCTCAGTAGTTGTTGTGTAGGAGCTAAGTGGTTTTTAAGAAATTTACAATTCCAATAATGATCCTTTTGGTTTGTTTGTGAGGCTTTGCAGTATGCTCTAGCAGTTATCCAAGGGAATCTGATGATATCCTGTTTCTTATGGTTTCTCTTTGTCTTAATTATTTTACTGTACGTATGATGCTGGAATCATCTCCCTTTGGAAGCTGAAGTGAATTGTTGGATTAGCCCTCTTCTAAAACTTTGAGTGATGCAAAACTCAGAGTGGCTGAGAACGGGGACAGGTCTGTCCTGATGACAAAATGGATTAAGCATCTACATCTGTTTTTCAGGTGTCCTTGGGCAAAGCATCTTTGCAACTTCTTTCACAATGTGGTGAGTATCTCTGTAGTTTAGAATTTAACAACAAAGCCTATCTTATATCTTACTTATCAATTAGATATTTAAATATGTCACTTTATGTATCATGTATCAAATACAGCATATGTCAATGCCATTTATTATAACATTATTACCAAAATTACTGAAGTGTACTAACTACTTTTTCTTTCTCTGCCCAGGGATTAAGGCACCTGCCCCTTGGCACCACAGCTCACCATGAAGTCGCCAAGTTCATAAACATTTTTGAAAAACCGTAATTTGGCGAAATCTTCAGGAATGTTTTCCAGTTTGTCTTAGTCTGAGCAATCTCTTTGTGGAGTCCCTTCTGTTCTGCTTTGGTTGTCATCTCCAAAAACATTCAGCTACGAACTGACTTCAGACAAATTAAAAAAAAAAAAAAGCAATCCTGGGTTGAGTGGTGAGCAGTGGCTGTGTTTCAGCAGACGTTGTTTTGGAAATTTCCTTTCTTGCAGGTCCATGTATTTAAGCAGTTGTTCAAAGAGGCAGTGGGTTTAAGGTTTTTTTTTAAAAAAACAGTCTACAGAGCTGCTGATCAGGGGGAATGAGGGAAGAGGAACACAGGCAAAGCAGAAAACACCACGAGTCTTTGCTTCCGCTGCGTTGCGCAGATGCGCTGTGGGTGAGATGTCTGCAGTGGGACAACTGCTGAGAGAGCAGAAGCTTTAAAAAAGGAAAAGTGCCTCTCCACAGGTGTGCAACAGCATGCATTAAAATACTCTTGCACACCCTCTTTTATTCGTGTGTAATTAAAAAAATAAACCACTTTTGAGGCTGAAGGACGTTAACTGAAGCTTTCTTGCTTGCTTCAAGAAAGCAGATTCAGGAAGACCTAATGCATTAAATAGCTTGTTTTGTTTGTAAATTAAATAAATATCGGTTTTAGGGTTTTCCAGTTGTGGGGCTTTGTTTTATTTCTGTGATAGATGACTGTTAGACTGGTGCTGATACCTCTCTGGGTTTCTCAAATCCTTATTATAATGGTAAGCTTCAGACTTAACGAGGTAGAAGTATTTCCAGCCTGGTTTACGCTCTTCTTTGCCCTGCTATGCTCCCTGTCTGCACTGGTTTGGCAGTCGGGGAAAAAAAAATAAAAATCTTACTATGTGGTGAGCTGTGTTTTGCACATTTAAGGCTTTCAGTGGCTTTTGCAGCTTTTATTATCTTAAATAAGCTATGCTGTTAAGTTTTCTATGAAAGTGTACATGTATCTAAGTCAACACAATGTCAAGTAAAACTCTAGAAATTCTGTTGTTACGGTGTCAGTTCTGTTTGGGGGTTTTTGTGGATTTTGGGGTTGTTTTTTGTTTGTTTTTTTTTTTAACAGTTACTGTACCTTTTATCTTGTGCTGTCCAAGTTCAGCCAGGACAAGCAGAGGTCAGTGAAGTCCCCTGATACTTGGGAATGTGGTTCTGCTTTTTGGTAGGGCTGGCCCTGTGGTGTCTTGTTCTGGTCCATGCTCCTGAAGACACACTGTGGTGTTTCATCCTGGTTTCCAAGAGAGGTGTTCCTTGCATGTTCCTAGTACTGTCTGTCTCACCTCATCTACCAGTAGATGCAGTAGATTAGTAGAAGGTCCCTGTTCCTATTATGGCTGAAGGGGGAGGAAAAAAGGGGGCGAAGGAAGCTGCAGACACTTTTTGTAGGTGCTGTGTCTGTGTTCTCTGCTTACCTTACACCTGGTGTAAGAGCTTTCCTTTCTCACCCTGCAGTCTGTCATGTTCTCTGGGTGCTCTCCCAGCAATGCAGAGAGGTTGGGCAGCTGACTGCCCTGAAGGCTCCTATCCTGAACTCTCCAAAATAATCCATTTCGTTAGTCCCTGGGTGTGCTAGCAGTGGGGTGTTACATTGTGCTTTGTCACTTTGCTGTGGGTGTAAAAAGACAACAGCACAACCAAGCAAGCCCTAATATTGGACTGAACTTGGACTTGGTGTAGGCTTCAGTGTCACCCTGTTTGGTGCCCTGTGCAGCAGTGGGTGCAGGAGGAAGAAGAGGCAAGCGTTTTGTTACCCCTTCAAGCCTGGATTTACCATCACAAGGAAAGGCTGGGAACTGCCTATTTACTGTAAGTAAATTGCATATCTATTCATTATTTATCTCCTTCTACATTTTAATGTATTATAGCGGCCCTTATAGTGAGGATTATGCTATAGATAATGATATAATCTTTTATGTATGAGAAAAAGACTTTCTCTGAAGATCTGCACTTGACTTCAGGCATGGGTTGGATGGACAGGTATAGGCATTACAATTAACCACAGCAGAAAACATCTTCCCGGTACCCTGAGACTATGACTAGTATAACCCCAAAGGTAAATTGAGGCTGATCTCGTCTGCTTTGCTCCAGGTATAATTGAGATGATCAGAGCTCATTAAAAATTGAAATGCATAGTTTGGAGAGGGAAATGGGCACCTAGAGCTGGCTCATCCAACTACTGTATTTCAGCAAACAGAACTGCTCTTTAAGCAAGTGTGCGTACAGCTGATGCTGCCAAACAATAAATAGAACACTTGCAAGAAAGTATCTGTATCAAAAATAAAATTTCAGCTAAAAATAGTGAAATTGCCTTATGTTCTTAAAGTCTAGACTGGGAATGCCATCATCTAGCCTGGGGCATGAAGTAACTGCTTGGTTGTGGTCAGCGGTTAGTAGACCTGTTGTGAGCATGTGCATCACCATTGGTTGTGGATAGGGTTTCTGAAATACAGTGCTAATAAACTCGTTGTTTACAGGCCACAGTATAATATTTGAGAACAAATAAACAACCCCCCAGTCTTGTACTGCCAGTAATCCTGTGTGGTGCTTCCAGCTCTGCTCAAGGCAGGGGGATGGTGATGTGCATCCTGACAGGGTAAGCTTGGACAAGGAGGCTGAGGTCTTTCTGAATCAGAATGGAGAAGGTGAAGTGAGCAGCTTTACCATCTCAACCACATGGGCAAGGGTGGAGAAGGACTTCTTGCAAGGGCATGTAGTCATAGGACATGGGCCAATGGCTTTAAACTGAAAAAGGATGGATTTAGTTTAAGGATAAGGAAGAAATTCTCTCCGAGGGTGGTGAGGCACTGGAACAGCTTGCCTGGAGAAGCTGTGGCTGCCCCATCCCTGGAAGTGTTCCAGGCCAGGTTGGATGAGGCTTTGGGCAACCTGGTGTAGTGGAAGGTGTCCCTGCCCATGGCAGGGGCGTTGGAACTGGATGATCTTTGAGGTCCCTTCCAACCCAAACCAGTCTGTGATTCTGTGATTGGAACAATAAAACCATCCAGGCTCACCAGCTCACAGCACCAGCAGAGCTCAGGGTGATGCCCAGGGCCATCCCTGAACACGCTGCCTCTGCCTGCATTATGCTTCCCAACCTCATCTGCTGATACTGTTTCTACCAAGGACACTAATTAACCTGCTAAATGAGTTTATCCCTTCGGAATGTGCACCAGAGAACCCAGTTATATAAAATACCATCCCAAAGAGAGCCATAATTAGCAGCTGGCACTGAGGGCAGACCCTCTGCTACCCAGGGAACGCTCTGCAAGGTGGTGGGGACTGTCAGTTCATTGCTGGT